GGTCAGTAAAAAAGACAAAAAGGAAAAAAAAAAAAGTTAGTCACTACGGGCCAGCCCGGTGGCGCACTCGGTAAGTGCGGCGCTTGGGAGCGCGGTGGCGCTCCCGCTGAGGGTTCGGATCCCATATAGAGACCGGTCCGCTCACTGGTTGAGTGCGGTGCGGGTGCGACACCGAGGGTTGCGATCCTGTTGCCGGTCGCGGTACAGGCGCAACACTGAGGGTTGCGATCCCGTTACCGGTCACCAAAAAAGACAAAAAGGAAAAATAAATAAATAAATAAAAATAAAAAATAAAAAGTTAGTCACTAGTGTTTATTGAGTACTCACTGTGTTCCAAGCCCCCCACTGTATTCATCATCTCTTATCATGAAACCACTTCATGCTGCTGAGGTGGTTACTATTCTTACTCCTGCATTGCGAGTGAGGAAACTTAAGGCTTAAAAGCAGTCACTCAGTAATTGGCAGAGCTTAGAATATTAGGGTTCTGTGCACAATTTTGTTTAAGAAAGTCGGTGTGGTTTCCTCTGGTTAAAAATAAAAGGTGAAAACCACAAATGAATACATATTGGCTTCTCTTCAAAACGGCACTCCAGAGTTCTCTGACTTTTCTTAACAGGTGAAAAATGTGTGTGAGAGCAGGAGCATGCTCCTTGCTTACTTCTGGAAGGCACATATGACTGCCAAGCGATGTCCCCACTGCAAGTGAGTATTGGGGCACTTGCCTTTCTCTCTCCCCAGGTGAGAAATGTCTAACCAGTCACTCACAGCTATTAAGTGTCTGATTGGGGATTTTTCTCTCCTCAATCACAACTGTTCTCCTGCGCAGGACTGGACGGTCAGTTATCCGAAAGGAGCACAACAGCAAGTTAACGGTCACGTATCCGGCCATGGTGCACAGGAAAGCTGACCAGAAGGACACAGAGCCCCTGGGTAATCAGGCTGGGTCCTGGGAGGTGCTCCTCGGCCATGTTTCTCATGCATGGCCATCACATGTGTTCCGAACCTTAGGAATACCGGTCCTCTTCAACACCTGTTTCTCTTCTGTGTGTGTGTGTGGTGGGCTGGTGGAGGCCTCTCAGGGCTGGAGGGGCCTCTTAGGGCTGGAGGGGACCCTGTGAGTGCCCAGCCCAGGCCTGTCACACAGGAGAACTGATGGGCGAGGCTGTGTTATGAGGCAGTGCTCCACAGGTGCCTCTTGCCTTACATGGTTGTTTTTCTAAAAGATTTTTTAAGAAAAATTAAGCAATTTACCTGGCAAATATTTTGAAACATTTGATTGTAAAACAAGTGTGGATTTATTTTGGAGTAAAATGTAGGTGAATCATTTTTAAGAAACACTGCAAGAATTTAACAAAAAGTTAGCGCCTCCCACAGGCTTCTCCTGGTTGTTCACTCTGACCCCAGGGATAGGGTCCTCTCCTCAGCTCTGCTCTGCTCTTGAGGTACTTCAGAAAAAATGAAAAAGACTGAGTACTCCCACTTTTTAAGGCTTGTTTAAACACATTTTTTGTTTCTTATTCTGAAGTAGTGAAAATTACATAAGGTATTCTGTATGAAGTACTGAAACCGTACTTGCTATGTAGTATGTGCTCTGTAGATGCTAACTATTTATATTTTATTATATCATCAACATGGCAGGGTACAAAAAGCACAACCTGCAATTGACATTCGGCTCTGCCACTTATGGTGAGTCGCTGAGAGAAAACTACTTTTTGGAGCTTCAGTTTCCAACTCTATAAATTACATGCATGAGATTTCATAGCAGATAATGTTACCAAACCTTTTTGCAGGGCTTGAGAATACAGGATAGGCAGGGAAATAAGTTCCCCTCCTGGAATTTGTATGCTGTATCTTTTATGATGAATATCCTGATGATGCCTAGATTATTTTTAAATAAGCCTTTTATTTTAGAATGACTTTAGATTTACAGAAGAGTAACACATAGTACAGAGAGTTCCCATGTACTCTTGGCTCAGTTTGCCTAATGTAGCATCTTAGATTACCTAATGTAACATACTACAAATTTAACATTGGTACAATACTATTAACTGAATTACAGACTTTATTTGAATTTGTTCAGTTTTTCTGGTAATGTCCTTTTTTATATTCCAGGATCCAATCTGGGATACCATACTGCATTTAGAAAGCCTGTTTAATTTTGTTTAATGGTTACCAGCACCACAAGAGTGGATTTTCTTACACTTACCTGTGAATAGCCCTTAAAACAATTTTCTCTTAACACTGGTTGGGAATTGCTGCTATAGCCCTTAGGATGCCTTAGAAAATGTTCTTAGATTGAGAACAGAGATGGTCAGAATTCTAGAGGTAACTGTTTCTTTAGGGCAAATGTCCAACAGTTAAGTAGTCTTTCAATGCCTTTGCCAAACCCTTTCTTCTGAACTAATCATCACTACAGCCGTGAGACTACGATGGTGCAGCCAGAAGTCTGTGCATTAGAAACAAGAAGACAGTAGCCTTTGACAGCTCCAGGATTGGGGTTTTAGTATTTAGCAAACATTTATTTGTTGGGCACTCAGCGTCCTGCCACGGACCTTGTGTGTGGTTGAGCACAGTGCGAAGATGGAGGCCAGAACATGTGGGCCAGCCCGGTGGCAGCACTGGAGAGTGCGCTGCTTGGGAGTGTGGCGGTGCTCCCGCCGAGGGTTTGGATCCCATNGATGCCTAGATTATTTTTAAATAAGCCTTTTATTTTAGAATGACTTTAGATTTACAGAAGAATAACACATAGTACAGAGAGTTCCCATGTACTCTTGGCTCAGTTTGCCTAATGTAACATCTTAGATTGCCTAATGTAACATACTACAAATTTAACATTGGTACAATACTATTAACTAAATTACAGACTTTATTTGAATTTGTTCAGTTTTTCTGGTAATGTCCTTTTTTATATTCCAGGATCCAATCTGGGATACCATACTGCATTTAGAAAGCCTGTTTAATTTTGTTTAATGGTTACCAGCACCACAAGAGTGGATTTTCTTACACTTACCTGTGAATAGCCCTTAAAACAATTTTCTCTTAACACTGGTTGGGAATTGCTGCTATAGCCCTTAGGATGCCTTAGAAAATGTTCTTAGATTGAGAACAGAGATGGTCAGAATTCTAGAGGTAACTGTTTCTTTAGGGCAAATGTCCAACAGTTAAGTAGTCTTTCAATGCCTTTGCCAAACCCTTTCTTCTGAACTAATCATCACTACAGCCGTGAGACTACGATGGTGCAGCCAGAAGTCTGTGCATTAGAAACAAGAAGACAGTAGCCTTTGACAGCTCCAGGATTGGGGTTTTAGTATTTAGCAAACATTTATTTGTTGGGCACTCAGCGTCCTGCCACGGACCTTGTGTGTGGTTGAGCACAGTGCAAAGATGGAGGCCAGAACATGTGGGCCAGCTCGGTGGCAGCACTGGAGAGTGCGCTGCTTGGGAGTGTGGCGGTGCTCCCGCCGAGGGTTTGGATCCCATGTGGAGACCGGTTCCCGCTCACTGGCTGAGCGCGGTGCGGGCACAACACCGAGGGTTGCAATCCCGTTGCCAGTCCCCAGTACGGGCGCGACACCGAGGGTTGCGATCCCGTTACCGGTCAGTAAAAAAAAGACAAAAAGGAAAAAAAAAAAGAAAAAAAAAGAACATGCGGCCTCTGCTGTCAGAGGAGGCTGCAGGTGACACAGTTGAATAACTCCAGGGAGCAGACGATGTGGAGGCAGGCGAGCATTCTGATCCTGGGTCTGGCTATGTTCCTGGTACTGGAGGGAGCCAAGAAGTGAGGCCTGTGCCTAAATGGTCCCCACAGATTGGTGAACCCACAGGAGTGCTGCTAGCTTGTGAGATGTTTCGTACACTCCAGTGTGCTCCCTGAGCCTCATGAAGCTCATTAGCATTTAAAATGAGAGTTCTTAAGCAGAGACACTCCCACCCAGGCCTCCCCAGGTTATTTGACCTCTCAATCCCTTTTTCATATGGCAATTCCTCTTATAGCTGAGAGAATGCACATTGGAGAGGCTCTGAAATCCCAGCTAGACATATTTCGTTGCAGGCTGCAGAGGTGTCTTGTTAGGAGGGGTGCAGCCCATGTGAGGAGGTGGGCTCCCTCAGGTCTCCTGTGGTTTGCCTTCACGGTGGCCTAAACTGTGGTGGAGGTACTGCTGGGATGGGAGCTGGGGAGATTGGACCTATCTTCCTCAGCCCTTCAAACATCTTTAGTGGGAAAGAAATTTCAGGTACTCATTCCCAGAAATGCCCACAGAATTGTTCTTTAGGTTAATGGGGTCTGTTTTTTCATGGTGAATGTACGTAGTTTTCTAATGCTGTGCTTATCCCTGAGGGTCAAAGCCACTCTTCATGCTTTCTTCAGTTGCAGCAACAAAATGTTTTGCTTTTGTAAAACTTTAAATGTGCAGACTCCTTGGCCTCACAATTCCACTTCTTCAACTTTATCCTGAGGAGTTAGAATACCCACAGTATTGTTTGAGTAGATTAAAATTGGATATGACTTAAATGTTTATTAATAGAGATTAGTTAAATAAATGACGACACATTTATTGTTATTCAAGTAAGAGATTTCTCTAAAAACTTGTGATGACATTCTCTGTAGATTATGAAGAAACTAGTTGGAGAATTGGAAATGGAATTAAGCTAGATTTTAAAAGTGAAAAAGGCAGTAGTGAGGTTTCTAAGTATAGATTATCTTAGGATATTTTGAACATTGGTGACTATATGACATCTGTTGTGTGCTAGACACCATGTCAGGTGTTAGTGACACATCCAAAGCATAGTTCCTGCCCTGATAAGTACCTAAAAAAGGGAAATAGAGCAGTGCTTGATTTCAGTGAACGCATCCCAGAAAAGGTTGTGAGTTTTGAACCTAGAGGATCATACTGCTTAATTATCCTTGTTAATCATTTAAGTACATGGAGCCTGGCCTCCTAAATGGCAGCCCGAAGACTGATTTTCTAACTTAATCTGGATATATCTGGTAGACAGTATCTCAGGGTGATCATGCTTAGTCTACTCCTCACTTGCTGGTATGACATTTGTAAAAAGAAATCAATAAATGTTTACCCATAAAAATGTTCACACTCATTTATCCATAATTCTACTTCTTTGAACCTTTCTGGTAAAAGCCATGTGTGTAAAGATTTATCATCGTGTTACTTAAAATAGTAAGAAATTATAATCAATCCAAGTGTTCAACTATGAGAGTATGGTGAAGTAAATCAGGAAACATCTTCAGTGGAATATCATGCAGCCATTAAAAATGGTAGTCAAGGGCCGGCCCGGTGGCGCACTGGAGAGTGCGCCGCTTGGGAGTGCGGCGGCGCTCCCGCTGAGGGTTCGGATCCCATATGGAGACCGGTTCCCGCTCACTGGCTGAGCGCGGTGCGGGCGCAACACCGAGGGTTGCGATCCCGTCGCCGGTCCCCGGTACGGGTGCAACACCGAGGGTTGCGATCCCGTTACCAGTCAGTAAAAAAGACAAAAAGGAAAAAAAAATGGTAGTCACGTAAAAGCTATGTAGCAACACGCGAATAGGCTCACAAGATGGTGCTAAATGAGCAAAGTAGTGTCAAAATAAATCCACGCTGAAGATTACAATTATGTAAAACACTTGTGTAAAACAAAGGACTGGGAAAGTATATATAAAAGTGATAATAGTTAACATGAGGGGATGGTGAGTAGTGTTTTCTTTTGCTATTTTTTAGGTTATATATCATAGTTACATTGTTCATTATTTTAGAAATTAGATTAAGGGGGGAAAATCCAGGGCTGAGAACATGCTGTTCTAGAGATTGAGTTTTGGGGTCAAATTGCAGGCTTTGCAATGTGGGGAGTAAGAATTGATAAATCCCTTTACAGAAGGAGTACCTGTTAATGATTTATTGTGCTTTGATTCCCCTCCTCAGCTCCAGGAATTGAGGAAGCTCAGATGGGAAAACGAGGGTACCTGACACCCACCAGTGCCCGAGAACATCTTTTAGCCCTTTGGAAGAATGAAGGTGCTGTACCAGGCTAAAGAAATAGCCATAATCTTCTCTAGGCTTTAATTTATTGAACTTATTTATCCTGCCCTATTATTGTTCTTTTTTAAACAGTAGTGATTATTGCAGCTCTCTCCTGAATTGATCCATAGGTTTAAGGCAGGCTGCAAGGTACAATGACATTGAGGCATCATAGAGTGGGGGAAGTTATATCCATTACCATGAACTTGTTGATTATGTAACAGACCCTGGTCATTAAATGACAGCTGAAGGTGGATCTTGCTTAATGCAGTTTGACATATGTCTAGAGGGTTTAGTATAACTCACCTTATTTTAAATGCCCATAAAGAAGGGCTGGCCAGTGGCTGACTTGGGAGAGTGTGGTGCTGATGACACCAAGGCCACGGTTCAGATCACTATATAGGGATGGCCGGTTAGCTCACTTGGGAGAGCGTGGTGCTGACAACACCAAGAGTTAAGATCCCCTTACCGGTCATCTTTTAAAAATAAAAATAAAAAAAATAAATGCCCATTAAAAAAAAAAAAAGTCTTTTTGAAGGTTTCTATGGGAATTTTGTCTGTGAATCGAAGAATGAGCTCCTTTTTTTTAAATTAGGATTTTTATACATTTCAGTTCCCTACAAAACGGGAAATCCTTCATTCCCTTTTGGGTGTGTAACAAAACCTATGCAGTATCCATGTAGTCAAGCCCCCGTGTCCATCCTCTAAGAGTACGTTCTGGAACGCTGACTCTAATCTCTGTATGGTGATAAGTAAGCACTTACACAGGAAACGCTGTTAAAGGGATATCAGGAAAAAAGAGCACTCAAGCTAGTATGACTTTTTTTTTTGTGGCAGGCCCTAGCACATTTTATTCATTTTCTCTGAGCATTTTTTTTGGTCACCAGAAACTTAAAATACAGCTTTAATCCACAGAAGATCCCTTCTTGGCAGTACCCGTGTGTGTGTGGGGGGGGGTTGTTTTGTTTTTCAGGAGCGTAACTTTTTGGTTGTTTAATTATTTTCTTTATTTCAATATGTTTTTTATAAATACCAAAGTAATAAATACTTGAGAGAGAGAGAGTGTGTGTGCACACACGTGCATGTGTTTAAGTCCAGAATGATAATGAAAAACAAGCAAAACTTTTTTTTTTCCTGTCTCTGCCCATCTCATTGCCTGGGCCAAGCACTGTTGTCCCTGAAGCACCCATTTTTATGTTGTCATCTCACCTACTTTGTCATACACACAGAGGCTAGTTTTTGTTTTTTTTTATAAAGAAAAATGTGATCTTACTCTACATATTTTGTATTTTTTTTTTCTCACTCAGTAACGTTTTTGTGGTCATCCTCCCATACTCTTACATGTACATTTAAGTGGTCTTTTTGGTTTATTTATTTCAAACACAGGATTCTTTCTGAATTACCTTTTCTCGGGACTGGACAACATTGGCACAGAGTCCAGATTCAACCCCAGTATGTTCTTCCTCGATTTCTTGATAGTGCCACCCTCAAGGTAATGCCCTTTAATTAACTTTTTTCACCTGGAAAAGGTTTATTGAGGAATTGAGTAACGACCTCTAGGAGGGGTGGAAGTGTCAAGGGCACTGAGAAATAAAGCAGCAGTCTGCCTCAGGTCGCAGGTGGTGTGAGTACAAGGGTACTTCAGAAAGCTCATGGAAAAATAGAATTAAAAGATAATATGAATCTTTCCACGAACTTTTTTTTTTTTTTTTTTTCCACGAACTTTTGAAGTACCTCCCACTTTCCTCTGTGTGTTGTGAATGCAGTAGGAATGTTGGTTGTCTTTGAGCTTGGTGGGGTGTGTGGGCTACAGTAGGCGTGGGCAAGAGGCTGAACAACACGACCCTTCCCTCAGGCTAAATGTTCACAAATTCCATGTGTCCCTCTGCAGGTATCGCCCTGTCAATCGCCTGGGGGACCAGATGTTTACCAATGGCCAGACAGTGAACTTGCAGGCTGTCATGAAGGACATAGTTCTGATCCGAAAGCTTCTGGCACTCATGGCTCAAGAACAGAAGCTGCCATGTGAGGTGGTGGCTCTCACCACAGATGAGGTCAGGGCGATGTCATAAGTGCACACAGTTCTAACTTCGTGCAGCATGGACACAGATGCTTGGGTGCCAAGTGATGCTGACTGTATGTTCTGTGCAGCTGGTGGCATCCTCAGTGGAAGCTGTGGGCTTGGGGGAGCCTAGTTAACATCGGGGGACCAGCAAGGGCCTGAGTGAGGAAAGGCCTGGGTTCTAGTTAGGTTCTGCCCCTAATGACCATGATGGGTAACTTTGGTTGAGTCACTTTAATTTCTTAGTCAAGTGCCCACTATAAAATGTGTGTGGTTTGTGGTGAGATTTCACATTTGGGCTGTTCTGGGCTACCAGCTGTCGGCAACTCTAAAAAGAACAGTCTTCTTCCCTTGGGCTCTAAAAATGTCCCTCCTGGGTCATAATACTAGAACTCATGTCACCTGGGTCTGTTTTGGACTCATTAAGGTCTCCAGCATTGGGGTCAGGAAGGCAGTGCTATGGAGTGGGAATTTCCCAGGATAGGACTATCATAGTTAACATTTTCTGAGCCTCTTCAGTGTGCTAGGCCCTGTGTTAGGTCTTCAGTGGATATAAAGATGAATCAGGCACAGAAAGCTTGCTGAGGTCACTGAGATGCTCTAAGATACTCTCTGGATACATAGAGGAAGGGCTGTCTCCAGCCTTGGGTAGAAGGGCAGGGCTCTCAGCCTCCCTTTCAGCCTCTGGGACAGTCCAGTCCCTTGGTCAGCCAGGGTGCCACCTTGTCTCCTGGTCATTTATGCTGTGGGTTACCCAGCCTTTCTCCTTGGAGCTTTCTTTGGCTTTGCTTAAGTTTTTGGATTGGCCAGTGTAGATATGCTTTTTAAAAAATCCTCAGTATAAGAGATATCTGCCATCTGTGTGCCTTGGTCCAGTTTGGGAGGGATGGCTGTAGAATAACCAGGTCCAGTGACCAGGGCTGAGAATTTTATTTGATAGGCCTTAAAAATAGGGCCTTAAAAAACTTGGTCTCTGCAGAAACAAACAGCATCCTGTCTGAGTCCTAAGTCACAGTGCCCTCTTTCCCCAATCAGTGGGGCATGTTCTTATTTTTCCCACCTTGCTCTCCACTTTGCATTCCCAGGGCAGGCCTGGCCAGGCACTGTTCTAGCCACTGGGTATATGCTGGTGAGACAAGGTCTCACTCATTTCATGAGTAATCACGTGGCCCTGAGCCAGGTAGTGCCATAAGTAGCAGGTTAGGCTGACGGCCCTGTCATCATGCAGGTGGCCATCTCTCCCTGTGAGTTTCCTTCAGCCAGAGGGGGACCCTGAACATTGTCTGCAGAAATATATATGTCCTCCCTGTGACTAACGATTCCTGTATTCCTCAGAGTTGAGGACAAGCCCACTAGTGTCAGTAGGTGGTGCTCCAAGGCAGGTTAAGGCCTCTGTATTTCTGTCCCTGGGCAGATAAGGGAGGCGAGGAGGAGGCAGAGCCAGGGACAGAAATATTGAAAAAGAGGGCCAACCCCATGGCTCACTCGGGAGAGTGCGGTGCGGGAAGCGCCGCGACACTCACGCCGCGGGTTCGGATCCTACATAGGGATGGCTGGTGTGCTCACTGGCTGAGCGTGGTGTGGCCGGTCACAAAAAGGACAAAAAAAAAATGCAGGTAGAGCAATTTCTTAAAAGGAAAAATGTGCCATATGACATTCTATGCCCTCAATTAAGATGGGGGTCCCCAACCAGGGTTACGATCTCCTTACCTGTCACAAAAAAAAAAAAAGAAGAAATATTAAAAAGGAGATCAGCCAGTAAAACTTGACATAGCCTGGTTGGGGACCCACATCTTAATTGAGGGCATAGAATGTCATATGGCACATTTTTCCTTTTAAGAAATTGCTCTACCTGCATTTTTTTTTTTTGTCCTTTTTGTGACCGGCCACACCACGCTCAGCCAGTGAGCGCATCACACCGGCCATCCCTATATAGGATCCGAACCCGCAGCGGGAGTGTTGCCGCACTCCCAGCGCCGCACTCTCCTGAGTGCGCCACAGGCTCGGCCCTCTACCTGCATTTTTGTAAGTGCTTTCGGTCAAGTTTTTCCAAAAGTAAATAAAGCTGAAAATACATATGAGAATCAGTTCTCTGGCAGGATAGCAGAGCTTCATAAGAAAAATACTGATGTGGGAAGGACTTCTAAGGTTGCCTTGGGAACTAGATATTATGGGACTTCAGCAAATGCCTTAAGAAAGAAGTCTGCTCATAAATCTTGAGTTCATTTTGCTACCAGAAAGACACTGGCTGGTAGAAATGTAATGGGGCTACTGTTTTATTGACACACACAAGATTGACTTATTAGCACTTTTGCCACTGATCTGTCAGGTTCAGAAAACATAAAGGCAAACTCCAGAGCTCATTGTTTGTCCGAGCTAGAGTAAGAAGGAAAAGTATAACCAAGCCAGGCCTTCTGGGGTATTTTTCCAGTATGCCTATTTTCTTGGTTGTATCTTCCCAGGAAAAAGACTCTTCAATTGCTGTGGACCGATCCTTTTTAAGTACACTTCCAGGCCAGTCCCTCACAGACAAACTTTACAACATTTGGATTCGCCTTCAGAGCCATGTCAATATTGTGTTTGATAGCGAGATGGACAAATTAATGATAGAAAAGTATCCTGGCATTAGACAGGTGAGCAGTAAGTTGGATTCCCATTACTACCTTAAGAGAGTGAATAATAAACATATTTGTATTGAAGCATGAAAATAATAAACATGCTTAAAAAAAAATTTTATTTTTTCTTATTTTTTTATGGACCCTTTCTCCATAAAGATCCTGGAGAAGAAAGAAGGCCTGTTCCGAAAGCACATGATGGGAAAGCGAGTAGACTATGCAGCCCGCTCGGTCATCTGCCCAGACATGTACATCAACACCAACGAGATTGGAATTCCCATGGTGTGTGTGTGTGTGTGTGTGTGTGTGTGTGGAGGGGTCCATTTGCTCCTGGTGGGTGGCAGATGGGAGTGCCATAGAAGGCTCAGGACAGGATGTACAGCAAGATCATGGTGGCTTGTCCATTTGCTCCTGGTGGATGGCAGATGGGAGTGCCATAGAAGGCTCAGGACAGGATGTACAGCAAGATCATGGTGGCTTGGGTGGGGACAGCCCATGTGGCAGGGACTCAGCTGCAGGAAGGTGTTGCTCTCCCTCTCATGCCCTGGGGCACGGGGAGCTGACTGCAGTGCATTTCCTGCCCCTTATCTTCCTCCTACCCACCTTGGCCTAGTCTTTAAACCTTCCTGGTCATATTGAATTGATGAGGAGAAGAAGAGGGAAAGGGGGATTTCAGTCCCACCTACTTTCTGGGCGTTAGGAGTCAGGAGTGTCCGCCCCTCGTTCCTGGTAGAGGAAGGTGAGAGCGCCCAGAGAGGAGACCATGCATGTCTTCTGTCCCCCCAGTCCCTCCTCGGGGCTATGTGGCTCACCCCTTCCACCCATGAGTGCTTCCTGTGGGAGCCGGCTTCATTTTCTTACTTCCCCACACTTTAATCGGTTTCCTCCATAGTGGGCTTTGAGGTCAGTAATGTGGAGACAGTTTAGTTCCCTCTGTGGAGTGTCTTGTTTTCTCGCACGCCATCTCCTCTGCCTCTCTGGGGGGTGCTGCTAATGAGCCACGCTGAAGTGTTCTGATCGTCCTGCATGCCTGCTGCCTTGTCTTGGACACGCTTGGGCTCGCTGGACAAGGTTGTGATGTGTCAGGCAACAAGAGCCAGAGAGCTCGGTCCTGTGCGGCCTCCTGGGACCATAGGTCTTTGCATCTGAAAGCTGGGTCAAGTGGTGAGGAAAGACACTGAAGCCCAGTGACATTCCCAATTCTGAGGCCCTGGCAGGAGACCCAGAGCCTGTCCGTTGCTCTCTCTGGACAGAGGGCAGGGTCCACCCCTGTGAACTTTGACCTCATGGTAACTATAATGTCCTCAGCTTTGGGAGAAACCTTTAGTGGTGCCTCTTCTTTCTACCTTCAAAATGCGCCAGGCTTCTGTTTCTCAGGTCTGGGTTCATTTGGTAATGGCTTACCCCTGAGGAGGAACTTCGAAGTTACCCTCTGCCTGCCTTTATCCTGCCCCAGGTCCCATGGTGGCTGGGAGTGTTACTCATAGAACTGCTTCTTGGCCCCTTGTGCTATCCCCTCCCCAGATAGCACTGTTGATAAGGTGTAATAAGAGCAAGGAGGTGACAGAAGTTTGGGCAATGTGATAGAGACCAAGCAGTAAAGCAGACACACCAGAGTGCTCCCTCAGAAGGCCGTGCTCCAGTAAGCAGATAAGCGGTGCATAAGTGGTGCATAAACGCTCTCAGACGGCAAAAAGTAGCATGGGCCAAGGGGCTGGGGAGGCCACTCAGAAAGTACCATTGTGCAGAGACCTGGAAAGAGTTGGACAAGATACTTTATGTAGGCCTTCTTAGAGGCTCTGATGTACTTGTGTGCATCAAATTGGTTTATAATCAGTAGCTCAGAAACTCACTTAACCAGGGAACTCATGTTTCTTGGAGCATATTTCAGGCCTGGTGTTAACAGAGCACACCGTTTTCTCCTGCATCAGAAGAGCAAATCGGTTTCCTCTCCAGCACCACCTGGTTGTCATGGTGCCAGAACTGCTGAGTTAAGAGATTCTGCCATGTCTGGGCTCAGGGAAAGTGCCATGATCAATTAGGGATGTTTGCTGGGGTGCAGGAGGGGTGCGGTGGTATTTGAGGACAGGTATTTACCACCTGTCTCAAGCAAGAGTCCCATGCTGTGTTCCCTTCTTTGGGGAGTTAGAATTTATTGGCAGAAAAGGAAATGGCGAAGTTTAGGAGTGAGTTAAAAAAATTCTAATGTGTAAATGGCAACACTTAAATTACTCTCCTCTGGCTGATTGTACAAAAAGAAGGCCCTATCTCTATTCCCTTAAGAGAGTGAGTCTGACAAAATGGCTCTGTGGAGCAGACAGCCAGGATGTCGCTTTACTCACTGATGGGCCTTCCTGGCCAATTCCGACAGCTCCTCCATGTCTTGCAGGGAAAGTCACACCACCAGCTGAGTCAGATTTTGGGTCCCTGTTACCTTTTTCTGCTTACCCTGAATTTCTACATCCACTCTTCGTTTTTAGGTATTTGCCACAAAACTGACCTACCCTCAACCAGTTACCCCCTGGAATGTTCAGGAACTGAGACAAGCAGTCATCAACGGCCCCAACAAGCACCCAGGAGCCTCCATGGTCATCAACGAAGATGGCAGTCGCACAGCCCTGAGTGTCACGGATATAACACAGCGGGAAGCCGTGGCCAAACAGCTCCTGACACCAGCCATGGGGGCACCTAAGCCCCATGGGACAAAAATTGTGAGTAGTAGGCGGGTTTTGTGAGTGGTACAGCCAGCTCCTGTCTGGCTCCCCTATGGCTACAGTCAGTGTCAACATGGGACTGCTGTGTGAGCTGCTCCTGCACCCCCAAGAGGAAGCTTCCCCCACACGTGGATCTCTACAGTGTTTTGTGGAGTCACCTTGTTTCCAGCTGGAGCTTGTGCTCCTAGGTCATGGACACCACAACTAAAGCTGTGTTTGGCCATCTTAAGCTACACAGCACAGTGCTGGACACACATTGTGTGCTTGAGAGATGTTCATTAATAACTCACTTGTGGTCCTGGAGCAGGAGAATTTGCTGCCCTTGAACAGGGCTACTCAAAGGGCGCTCCTCAGATCACCAGCAGCAGCAGCCCTGGAGCTCACGTGGAATGCAGATTTATCCTCCCTCCACCCTGTCCCCCTGCCGAATTAGAATCTCTGGGAATCTTAATAACTCACTGTGGTCCTGGAGCAGGAGAATTTGCTGCCCTTGAACAGGGCTACTCAAAGGGCGCTCCTCAGATCACCAGCAGCAGCAGCCCTGGAGCTCATGTGGAATGCAGATTTATCCTCCCTCCACCCTGTCCCCCTGCCGAATTAGAATCTCTGGGAATGGGGCTCAGGAATCTTTTTTTAACAGGCTCTCCAGAGGGTTCTCCTGCATGTTAGAGTTTGAGAACCGCTCTATAGGAGGGAAATGCTCTGTGTCAGTAATCATTGATAACTGACAAGTTGTAACTAATGCTTCAATTCTGGGCAGTTGCTGTTGCCCACCCATAGTTCTGTGTTAAGAGATGCTGAGGCTGGCTTTGTCTGGGTTTCACCTGAAAGAGCTCATGATCAATTAGCAGTGTTGCGGAGGATGTGAGGTCGGTAGGTGACAGCGTTTGTATCTGTGTCAAATAATAGCCACTCCTGTTGGGAGGGGAGTAGCAAATGACCCCTAACCAGGCAACAGTGGCGGAAGTTGTTGCATTGAAATGGATTCGATTTGGGTTTAACTCATCAGTGACTACCCAGAGTCAAGAGGTGACTGACTGCGTTTTCCTGACCTATGTGTGCAGCTGTGTCCAGTGACTGACTAGCTCTTCTTTAGTAATGGTTTTAAGCCAACAAAGATCCTGTGAGCTGGGAAGGAACAGAGAGCAGAGGGCAGTGTCTTGGCCTTGTCACAGTGACCATTGGCTCCCATTATTCTTCCCGGTGCCACAGGCCTGCCCTCTTGCCTTCCTCTTGATCTTGCGGCTCTCCAGAGGTGAAACAGTGACACACTGCCCATTTTCTGCTTTGGTAACGGGGGCACATAAAGACACAGATTACGTCACTTATCTGTTCTTTCGCAGTGCATTAAGTAAGATTTGTGCTCCGGTTCATAGGGTTATTCTGCTTTTTCTGAGTGCCTGGTGTTTTGCTAGGAGCTGTATGCAAGAAAAAACAAGGTATATTTCACCTAGCTTTTGGTGAAGCCAGACAAACATGAAGTCATCTTCCTCGTAACTCAAGTCAAACATGTGAGACAGTCTCACATCAAGAAATAAGGGGAGAAAAACTGAGAGGCAAGAGAGCAGTGAGGGGTTGGGTGGTGCTGAGGTCCTTCTATATGCTGCCACTTTGTCACTGTGGGTGTGATCCTTGCTACCCTGGGGCTGACAGCATGGTGGGAGCCACCAGTAAATGCATCACCTGCTGCTGAGTGGTGTGGCAGACACCATAGGGAACAACAGTAGGAACAGTGACTTCGTGTTTATGATGCTCAAGAAGAAAGGAGTTTGAGGCGAGCATGCAGGGAGAGAGAGGGCAGGGAGTGTTCGGAGTCATTCGGAGCCACTTTTAAGCTAGGTCATGGGCCAGCCTAGAGTGCTGCAGGGAGAACCAAGGGCAGATGTAGGGGATGTTTCACAGGGAGAGCCAGGGTGACAAATTGGGTGCCTGGACTGTAGAAGAGAGAATAGATGAAAACAAAGCCATGATTTCCAGCACAGGAGAGTGGTAGGGCCAAAAAAGGAGATGCTTTGGGGCTCTTCTAAATTTGAGCTGACAGTGGAGATTCTAAGGGCCCACTCCCTGTAAAAAGTAGAAACATGAGACTGAGATCAGGGGCCATAGAATTAAGAATTGAAACTCTCAGGGTATTCACCTCTTTCAGCACAGAGTACAATAGAAAGAGAAAATGGGGGTGGGGTGCCTGAAATGTGAGAGTGGAGGGAAGGAAAGGGAGGAACAGGGCCAGGCTTGCTCATTTTGTGTCCACATCTCTTACATGTGGTTGTGAGGTTTTTCAGGGTCAGCTGAAGGTCACCTGTGACCCATGAGAGCACACAGTGAAGGGGCTGGGTTTCAGAGCCTCCATGATGAGGAAGTGAAGGCAGTAGCCAAGGGCATTTGAAAGAAAAAGCAGGATGCAGGGCTTCTGCACCTCATGGGATGTGAGTACCAGGCAGAGGCACGCGGCACTTCCTGCACACGGCCTTGGCTAGCTGCTTCTGTGGGGTTGGAGAGAAGGCGATGGGAAGGACAGGGACTGGGAGCGTAGGAGAGGGGGAGGCTGGCCCCGCTGCAGTGTGCTGTCAGTCGCTTGTCTTCTGGCTTCAGTTCAAATCCTCAGCAGGCTTGAGTCCTCACATCATCCCTGCTTTCTCCCCCAGCCCCATCTCTCACCTAGCCTTCTTCAGCCTCTTTTTTTTTTTTTAAAAAAAAGATGACCGGTAAGGGGATCTTAACCCTTGACTTTGTGTTGTCAGCACCACGCTCTCCCAAGTGAGCTAACTGGCCATCCCTATATAGGGATGCGAACCTGTGGCCTTGGTGTTATCAGCACCACACTCTCCCAAGTGAGCCATAGGCCGGCCCTTCTTCAGCCTCTTTGTTCAGCCGGTCCTTGTCAGTGCTGGGCTCACTCCTGTATAGGGATGCGAACCTGTGGCCTTGGTGTTATCAGCACCACACTCTCCCAAGTGAGCCGTAGGCCGGCCCTTCTTCAGCCTCTTTGTTCAGCCGGTCCTTGTCAGTGCTGGGCTCACTCCTCCCTTTGGGCTTTGCAAATGCTGTTCCCCTGCCCAGATAGCTTTGCCCTCCTCCAGATTCCCCAGCTAACTCCTGCTGTTCTTACAGGTTTCAGCAAAGCCCTCATTCCTGTAGGGTCAGAGAGTAAATATTTCAGGCTTTGTGGGCCGTACAGGCTCTGTTGCTAAAGCGGTCACAGGCAGTATGTGGACAGATGTGCCTGGCTGTGTTCCAATAAAACTTTATTTACAGGGCCGGCCTGGTGGCGCACTGCTATAGTGCGCCACTTGGGAGCGCGGCGGCGCTCCCACCGAGGGTTCGGATCCCACATACAGACCGGTTCCCGCTCACTGGCTGAGCAAGGTGCGGGCGCAACACCGCAAGGAGAGGTTGCGATTCCGTTGCCGGTCCTGGTCCGGTACGGGCTTGACACTGAGGGTTGCGATCCGTTGCCGGACACGGGGGAAAAAAAAAAAAACTTTATTTACAAAAGCTGGTAGCCAGCCTGCCTACTAATTTGCCACTCTGATATCCTGTGGTAGGTGCCCCCTATGTGTTCCCACGTTTCCCCTGTGACATGTGAAACCTCTGCCTCTTCCCCTGGGCCTCGTTATTAAGGGAGGAAGTGGCCAGGACAACCTCGTCTTTTCCCTGCTCAACAGTCTGCCAGAAACAGGCTTTTGGCTCCAGTCCTGCCTCTGAAAACTCTGACCTGGGCACTGGGCACATTAATTTTCACTGCTGTATTTATTTAGAGACAAGAGAAAGGAAGGGCCTTAGGTTTGGGTTGGCAAGGGGAGCGCCCTCTGCTCCAGGGCTTTTGTTTGGATTGGCTGGTGCCTGCCAGACTGGCCTATGCACCTTCCCAGCTGTGGCGAGTTTGCTTATGCTGGAGGATGCCTCAAATTTGCGAGACTCAGATCCTAGGCCCAGCCTGGTTTTTTGGGCCTGGGCCACAGGTCTGGCCCGTTTCTCCCTTGAGAGGCTAAAGAAAGAAGACCTCAGACTGTGATGTAGTCAGGCAGCAGCCAGTGCCCTGGGCAGAGGCTCATGGGAATCCTCAGAGTCCAGGTCTCCTTGGAAACTTGGGACTTGGGGATGGGGTGGGGAGGGGAGGGTTTGAATTCCTTGAGGAAAGATGGACTCCATGCTGTGTGCTTTTAGAACTGCCATTTGGTATTTGAGGGTTTTGCTTCCTGCTTTTCTGAGCTGGAGGGAACTTTTAGCCCAGCTGAAGAGGGATGGGGGAAGGGTGGTGGGAAGCATCTGTTATTAACCTCTAACCTCTCTCTTTAAATAACCAATTTTCCAACGCAACTTTGTAAATGGGGACAACTGAAGAAGAAACTAGACTTGGAATAATTTGTTGTGTCCCCCAGCCTGTTATCTGCTGTGATTTGGAGATTTGGGGTGAGGGGAGTATGACTGAGTCACCATAATTCCTCTGGACTACTAAAGAGGGGCCTTCACAATGCTTGGGGCAACAGTTACCTTCATGAGTTTGTTTTTTGTTTTTTTCCCTCCTCCTTCCCCTCCCCACCGTGCATTTGTTTTTTAAAGTGTTGTTTATATTTAGTATTTACCAAACCTGGCTGTTAATGTAAGATAAAGGTAGTAAAAGGCTTAATGAGCATTACAGTATAGTTAGCTTTGTGTGAGAGGTGTTCCATCAGAAGGACCTGAGCAACCCATGTTTGTAGGGGGAAAAAAGTGTGAACAATGGTTATCTTTGAGGAAGAAAATTACTTGTGTTTTTTTATTCTCTTCTTTATGTTTGTTTGTATTTTCTGGTTTTTGCCCCCACAATGAGCAATATATCCCTTGAGCAATTTTTCTTGCTTTCTTTAAAAAAACTGACGATCTTTTAAAAAATAATTACAGAAGTAATACATATTCATTGTAAGATGAATGGTACTAACATGTTTAAAGGTAAAGGTGCTAATCTATGCCTCATTATCCTTCCTCATGGTCCCATGCCCCTGAGGAGATCATAGTAACAGCTTAGTGAGGATCCAGGCATCCCTTTTCCCCTATACACACACACACAGAGTCAGCCCTCCGTATCCACGGGTTTCACATCTGCGCATTCAACCAAGCACAGATGGAAAATATTTGAGGAAAAATAATAAAAATAAAAACATACAAATTAAAAAATATAGTATAGGCCCGGCCCGGTGGCGCACTGGATAAGTGCGCCGCTTGGGAAGTGCGGCGGCGCTCCCACCCGAGGGTTCGGATCCCACATACAGACCGGTTCCCGCTCACTGGCTGAGCGAGGCGCGGGAGCAGCACTGAGGGTTGCAATCCCGTTGCCGGTCCCCGGTCCGGTACGGGGGCAACACTGAGGGTTGCGATCCGTTGCCGGACATGGAAAAAGATAAAAAAGACAAAAAATATATATATATATATATAGTATAACTACTTACACAGCACTTACATTGTATTAGGTATTATAAGTAATCTAGAGATGATTTAAAATATACAAGAGGATGTGCATAGGTTATATGCTTTGAGTATCCATGGACTTTGGTATCTGCGGGGTGGTCCTGGAACCAATCCCCTACAGAAACCAAGGGACGACCATGTGTGCACAGAGTTGGGTTGGGTTTTAAATTGCCTCATTCTGTCACCTTCCATGCTGCCTGGATTTTTTCCTTTGCTGTAGTACATTATTGCCATCAACTTAGCCTTTTTCATCATTGCATAATATTCCACAGTGTGGATACACTGCAATTTATTGCCCCTTCTGTGGGGCAGTCAGGTTATTTCTGGGTTTCGCCACTGTAAACACTGCTACATAAACATATATTCACATAACCTTGTGTTGGTGCTTCTGAAAGGCTAAAAGGAAATGTGTTCTATTTTATTTATTTATTTATTTATTTTTTTGTCTTTTTCGTGACCGGTAACGGGATCGCAACCCTTGGTGTGGTGTCACCCACACCGTGCTCAGCCAGTGAGCGCGCCGGCCATTCCTATATAGGATCCAAACCCACGGGGGGCGGGGGGGGAGTGTCGCTGCGCTCCCAGCGCTGCACTCTCCCGAGTGCGCCACGGGCCCGGCCCAGGAAATGTGTCTTAAATATTCCAATAGCTGTTTTCAAACTTCTTTCCCCAAAGGCAGGCAGTTTACACTTCTTTTTAATTTTGTAAGTGCAATAAAATGTTTTCAGAGGGCATTGAACTGGGAATCAAGAACCCTGTGTTCTAGTCCTGGCTCTGCTGTCGAGAAATTATTTCTAAAACATGCAATTCATATTTAGAATAACTTACTCACATAACCATGGGGGGTGATTCAAGAAGTCTGCCAAGTCCTTTCAAACCTAGGGGTTTTATGTTGACTTGAAGGTGTGTATCTGTTTCTTTCTTAGATTTGTTCTCAGAGGAATCTAGGACTCTGACAAGGCCATTCATCTCTGAAGAAAACAGAGATTACTGGATAGACACCTGTGGCTGTGTCTGTTCCTTGTACCTCAGAGCCCAGAGCCAGGATCAGGGCTGTACTGGGCCAGGTCCACAGGGGCCTAGGAGCTATTTCTAGGGTTTTGCTTCAGACTTAAAAATTCCCCTTGCATGTAGTTGACTAGAACCCGAGACAACAGAAGCCACACATAGGCCAAGCTGAGGTGAGCCCTTGGAAGGAGCTGTGCTGATGCTGCAGTGCTGCTGATCACCCACCTGTTCTCCACTCTGTCCCCAGGTATGCCGGCACGTGAAGAATGGGGACATTCTCCTACTGAACCGACAACCCACCCTTCACAGACCCTCCATCCAGGCCCACCATGCCCGCATCCTGCCTGAAGAGAAAGTCTTACGGCTCCACTATGCCAACTGCAAGGCCTATAATGCTGACTTTGATGGAGATGAGATGAATGCACACTTCCCCCAGAGTGAGCTGGGCCGGGCCGAGGCCCATATCCTGGCCTGTACCGATCAGCAGTACCTTGTTCCCAAGGTAGGTCTGGCCTTGAAGCTGTTCCACAGTCATTGCCAGCATGACTTGGCACTTTGAACCTGTGCCCTCACCATCTCCTGGGGTCAATGGTCTTCTCCAAGGCAGAGGCATGTGGAACAGAGGGTCCATGTGGGGTTTCCAGGCCTCTAGTTGCTTAGGGCAGGGAAAAGTTTCTGTCTTGCTTTGTCTTAAAATGGAAGTCAGGAAATAAATTGTGATGGCCATCCCAGAAAGCCAGGTTTAGTAGCTACATAGCAGGTCTTCCAGACTTATGTGTGGAAGGTGCTACAACTTATTAGCTCCTGGCAGGCATTGGCATCCCAACTGTGATGGTCCTCATTGTCCACAGACAACTCTGATCCTTTGAGTTCTGACAAGCATGAATTTTAAGAGGCAACTTAACCCCCAAGGCCCAGACAAGATCTCCTTCCAGCCCATGAAGGCATCTTCTCTTCTGTTTGAATCCCTTCCTTCTCTGTCCGAGGTTGGGCCTCATGGGCAGTCCTGTGTGGTCATGGCTGTCCAGAGGGACACATGGGAAGGAAGTAACTTCCTCCCACCTCGCCTGGCTGGCTAATTTGTTCCCATTGAGTGGCAGGGGCTGGAGTCAGCGTGTGCTGATGAGAGAGACAGAGTGGGGAAAGAGCCAGGCTGCAGGAAAAGGGATGGAGTATGTTCCAGTCCCCATTTACCCCTTACCACCTGCCCAAAGGTCTGAGGCCTTTTCAATTATAAGCCATTTGCACCACAGTGATTCATTTGGATTGTGGTAGAGTGTGAAAGAACTAGTAGTAATAATTATGTAAAATCACAGCTACCATTTACCAAGCAGTTTTTCAGTGCCAGGCACTATGCAAAGCACTTTGGAGGCTTCTCATTTCAGCCTCCCCACAGTTCTTGAAGGTAAGTGCTATTAATGTCCACATTTTACACTCAAAGAATTGCTGTAATTTGCCCAAGGACACCCAGATGAGAAGTAGGACAAGGAGCTCCCAGATCTTCATAGGGTTTGTTCTGCAGCATAGACGGAGAGCTCTGTACCCAGGGAGCACCAGGGGCTACTTTGAGATGCCCAGTGTTGGTTAGCACCCTCTGTTCCTTGGAACTTCTCTTCCCCATCAGCCATCTGCCACCCAGGGCATCAGGCAATGGCCAAGAGCCCAGTGTCTCAGCCTCTTTTCCCACCAGATGTACTACTGTGACTTCATGAGGGACCCAGTCGTCTGAGTTTAACTTCTCCTTCTCTGCCCACTTTAGTGGGTTGTCAATTAGCAAAGGGACTAAAAGTAGGAAGAAGGGGCTGAAGGGTTTAGATCACTTGGAAATTAGAAAACATAATTTTGCTAATTTGAAAATTAGCCTTTTGTCTTTTCCTGAAAGTGTTAAGAGTAGTAGCTATAGTATGTGGCATTTATTGAGCAAGGCCTGGGCCTCGGGCACTGCTTTAGCAATTGGCAAACATTCTCTTATTTAGTCCTCATGTTACCAGACTCAGGTCCGGCTGCCCGCCTCTTTGAAAAGGAAAGAAAAAAAACTCAGAAGTCAAATGGTTGGTGTTAGATCCTCGGGCACTGCTTTAGCAATTGGCAAACATTCTCTTATTTAGTCCTCATGTTACCAGACTCAGGTCTGGCTGCCCGCCTCTTTGAAAAGGAAAGAAAAAAAACTCAGAAGTCAAATGGTTGGTGTTAGAAAAGCAGATATATTCAGCTGAAGGAGATAGTAGGCTACCCCATCTCAAAGATTTACATTTACTGAGGGGTTTTTAAAGGAAGGGTTGAGGGAATGGAGTGTGGGAGGTGAAAAGAAGGAGAGCAGGAGATGTGAGTTACGAGGGGTCCATTTTTATGGGTCAGGTACCAGGTCTTGCCAAGGCTTCATCTGGTTTCTCTTCTCATCTTCACTGTTATCTCAGGACCCTGCAAGATTTTGATTTGCGCCAGTGTACTTGGCTAGTGCCCAGGTCAGCTTCTAGTCGTTTGGCCTTGATCATTTCTCAAAACTCTACAAGTCTCAAAGAAAGAACTGTTAGCTTTGCAAAGTACTAATTAGCTTCTTGGCCTTTTTTTCCTACTTAGTGAGCAAGATAAGAAAGTCAGGGGATGGGAAGCAAGAGTGGAGAGAAAAAAACTGCCCTTTAAAAAATCCTCCCTGCCTCTGCAGCCCAGGCAGCTTTAGGTCCTAACATGGCTTCAGTCCTGCTCACTCCAACACTCACAACAGCCTTAGTGTTATTTTCAGATGAGGAAACACCAAGTGGGTAACTTAGCAGCCAGTGAGGAGCCAGAACTTGAACCCTGCACCTTTGGACTCCCAGGTCCATGTGCTCAGCCTGTGTGCTCCATCCCACCTGACAGGCGGGGCTGGGGCTGGGTGAGGGCATGTGGCAGAAAGTGGCTTTCAAGACTACTCCAGCTCTCCAACTCAAGATCAGAGGCACATTTCACCAGAGGGGACACTACCAGGGAGCAGCAGATAGTTTTTTGCTGTCAGGGTGAAATGTGAGCATTAGCTACATGGGGAGTTGAGGCACTCCAGAGTCCTCAGACCAATGATCTTGAATGTTCTATACTTGATTTTGATTGAAAAAGGTGAGAAGCAATAGGAGGCTTCATGCTTACATTGTGTCCTGCAGAGGGCTGGCTTATTAAAACCAAACAGGCCTCATTGCATGCTCATTTGCCTATGAGTTTTAGGTCAGGCATACACTTAAGGGAGGCAGGCAAAACAAAGATAAATAAGCTGATATCAATAAATCAATTTCTTAAAAAGTAAAAAACGTGTGGGGGATGGCCTGAGGGTTCACTTCTCTTTCAATCAATTTCTTTTGTTAGAGGCAAAGAGGTTTTGATTCTCGATAAATTTTATTTAGTGCTCAGTGTTAATGCCAAAAGGAGGAATCCTTATTTTTGCTGTTGGGTATAAAAATACAGCATGTCTTTGGTGGCAGAGTCCTAAGAGGAGAAGAGCTGGTTTGGTTAAAGTAGGAAGGCCGGTTTTGGGGGGTCATTTTTCTTAGTGTATCTTTATTTCTCTTTGTTTCCATTTCTCTTTGTTCGTTTGTCCATTTCTTTTCTATTTCCAGGTTTTCTAATTTAACTAGCCATAATATCGGATTAAAGTGCATTTTATTGTTGGTTTTATGTACTTAATGGAATTTTGTGTTGTCTTCTTACTTAAAATAGGAGCTGGATGAAACTTTAACTATTTCTTTTATTGGGAGCAAATGCTTTGTGAAATTTTTTTAGCAAAGCTTGAGACATAGTTTCCTGACTTCTACTTAGCTAGAAACATCAAGTTACAGAATACCTTGTCTTTAAGACATTAATTGTAATGTCATTTTGCTGTGATATGTAGCAGAATAGGATAGCTGACAGTTTGGGAGGGGGTTGATTCAGAGATGTTCTTTCTTATCCTAAGTGGGATTTAGGAAATTCAGAATTATAAGTAGACCCTTAGTAATTGCTTTAATCAGCATTCCTCCCTGGAATTCGTGATTATTGCGCTGAAAGCAATTTAGCCATTAAAGTAATTTTCTAGTCAAGGAAAAATCTGGATGGAGAGAGGAGAAGACACAGTATCATATAACTTGTAATTATGTTCTTTAAAGGAAGAAAACAAAAGGAAAAATCTATATCTGCCCCCAAAGACTGTGGGATGAGTCAAATGCGTAATACTGGTTTGGGTTTTTCCCCGAAGCAAAATAAGACTATCTTTGGAATAAGACATAAAGTATAATTTTTAAATTTATGTTAATAACTCAGAGCCTTCATAAGAAGGGCTGTGTGCTCCCTCTGATCTTGCTTTGCATCCATGGTACTTTTCAGCCCATCTGTAGTAATTATCTTTGAGTTTACATAGAGCCCATTGCTGTATTTAGACCATTTGACAAGAATCCTTTTTAGCCTTTGAATTAGCGTATGTGGTTAAATTCCTGGCACTTCTCCATGGCTGCATTTGTGAATTCCCTTAGCCTTAGTTATGAAACATGGCCATAATATTGGCTAGTATTTAACAAATAATTATGATAACAATCGTTAGATCCAAGACAAAGGTTTTTCTGAAATTCCTGTAAACATTGAAAAGTTTACAAAAACTACTTCTTAAAGAATGTCAGTGAGCATAGCTATTTTTACTTCAGTGTGCCTTATGTTGCCATGAACACAGACCTGGCAGATGAGGTTCAGGAGACTGGGATCAGAAAGACTGTGAAAGTGTCAGATGAAATGAACGTACCCACAAAATCTGGGCTTTTATAAAAGCCCTTGTTTTGGCATCTAGTAGGTTACTGCCTTTATTAAGGGCCCATCTTGAACCATGTGCTACGTTGTGAAAAGATGATAATAATGGACATTCTTTCCTTCTGCACTCATGTACATTAGGCCCTCTCATGGCCTTGAGGAACCTATGCCTGAACCCCTAGCTCTCTGCACTAGCAGACTCCAAGTCACCCCTTGGGCCTCAACTGTAATGATGCTCTTCAGAGAGACCATTCCTGATCATCCCTCCACCCTGAATCTATGTTATGATCCCATCCTGTTATGTTCCTCCATAGCATTTAAAACACTTTGTGATAATGTATTCATCCAATCATTTGTTCATTGCCTAGGCATATAGTAGGCTCTCAATAAATATTTGTTGAACGGTTGACTGATTTATAGAAAAAACCAGGCCAGAAATGTGTGAAAAATACTAAAGCATAAAACCAAAGTATAAAAACAAGAACATAGCTAACCGACAGCCAGACCAAACTTACGCTTAAATGCCAGAAGTATGCTGGAGTAGAACCAGATGGGATTAAGCAGAGACGGCTTGGGGAACTGGCTGAGTTTGAAGGGTTTTTGATACTGGACAGTGGGCAAATGGCAAGAATAGAAGGTTGTGGTAAGCCCTGGTCATGTGATATGGGAGGCAGTTTGCTCCCAAGGACATGGGCAGGACAACGCAGGGATATATGGGAGGGGTGTTGCTAACAGGAGCCTTCCAAGCCTTCCAAGCAGATGATTAGAAATTAGAGTTTGTCTTAAAATTCATCTTTATTCTTTTCTTATCTGTTTTGGTTTGTAGGATGGCCAGCCATTGGCAGGATTGATCCAAGATCATATGGTTTCAGGTGCAAACATGACCACACGGGGTTGCTTTTTCACCCGGGACCAATACATGGAGCTGGTGTACCGAGGACTCACAGACAAAGTGGGGCGTGTGAAGCTCTTTCCTCCTACCATCCTGAAGCCCTTTCCACTGTGGACAGGAAAGCAGGTAATTGGGAGAAAACAGCCAGGGTATAAAACAAAAGGAAATAGGCCACTCATATATAAGGTTTCATTTCCATTAGAGCCCAGGCCAGAGACAGAGAAATGGCTAATCGAGAAATAGTCTGACTTTCCCTCTTTTTGGGGTTCCTAGGTCTGGGGTGGTTTCAAGGGAGTGTCTAGTAAGAGTAGGTTGCATCGTTTTTGTCCTTTGCTTCTAACTTAAACTTGGTGTCCTCATAATTCAAATATGGTGGTACTATGCAATGGTGTTGGTAGTGGTAGTCGTAATATTTGTTGGGAAGTACCAAGCACTTTGCTGATGCCTTAGATAAGTTATCTGATTTAATCCTCACAACTAACCTGCAATGCAGAGACCATGATTATATCCCCTTGGTAGATGGTAGCACTGGGTCTTAGGGATGTTAAATTACACACCCAAGGCTATAGGAGATAGAATTGGGATTTAAACCCCAGGACTTTCTAACTCCCAAAGCATCACATCATACTTTCTCTCTAAGTAACCAAATTATAGTATACACGGTGATCAAATAATTAAACACATTCTTCTACTGTTCACCCAAGGCTATAGGAGATAGAATTGGGATTTAAACCCCAGGACTTTCTAACTCCCAAAGCATCACATCATACTTTCTAAGTAACCAAATTATAGTATACACGGTGATCAAATAATTAAACACATTCTTCTACTGTTGGCTGGGCCTCCACGTTCAGCCTTAAGGGTCAACTTCTAATTGGCTATGTGAACTTGACTCTGTGGGCCGCGGTTTCTCATCCATATAAATAGGAGTTCAAGTGATGATCTTTAAGGTCTCTTCCAGTGCTACAGTACTTTAAGTCTGCGGACCTAGGATTTGACTGGTTTTCAATTGCTAAATCAACCTTGCATTCCTGGGATAATCCTTGCATTTACTTGGTCATGAGGTAGAACCCTTTTTATATATTATTGAATTCAATTTGCTGATATTTTATTTAAAATGTTTTTACATCTATGTTCATGAGGGATCTTGGTCTGTAGTTTTCTTGTAATATTTTTGTTTGGTTTTGGTATCAGGGTAATGCTGGTCTCATTGAATAAATTGGGAAGTATTTTTTCTTCAGTTTTTTATAAGAATTTGTGTAGTATTAGTATTATTTCTTCCTTAAGTGTTTGGTAGAATTCACCAGTGAAGGCATCTGGGCCTAGAGATTCTTTGTTGGAAGGTTTTTAACTATAATTTCTATTTCTTTAATAAATTGCTATGGTTTAAATATGTCCCCCAAAGTAGTTGTGTTAGAACTTGATCCCCAATGTGATGGTATTAAGAGGTGGGACCTTGAAGTGGTGGTTAGGTCATGAGGGCTCTGCCTTGCATGGATTAATGCTGTTATTATGGGAGTGGGACTGTTAAGGCAGGAGTCTGTTCCTTATAAAAGGACAAGTTCGACCCCCTCTTGCCCTCTCTCTTGCCCTGTCTTTGCTCTTCTGTCATGCATGAGATGACATAGCAAGAAGACTCTCACCAGATTTCAGTCCCTCGATCTTGAACTGCCCGGCCTTCAGAACTGTGAGGAAATAAATTTCTGTTCTTTATAAATGACCCAGTCTGTGGCATTTTGTTATAGCAGCACAAAACAGGCTAAGACATAAATATAGGGCTATTCAGGTTATGTATTTCTTTTTACGTGAGCTTTAGTGGTTTATGTTTTTCAAGGAATTTGTCCATTTCGTCTAAGTTGTTGGATTTTTAGGCATAAAATTGTTCATAATGTTCTTTATTGTCCTTTTCTATCTGTAGTGGTGTCACCTCTCCTATTCCTGACATTGATAATTTGTGTCTTCTCTTTTTTTTTCTGATCAGTTTGCCTACAGATTTGTCAGTTTTGTTGCTCTAAAAGAACCAGTTTTTGGTTTCATTAACTTCCTCAATTTTTCTGTTTTCTATTTTATTGATTTCACTCTGATCTTTATTATTTCCTTTCTTTTGTTTACTTTAGGTTTAATTCGCTCTTTTTCTAATTACTGAAGTCATTGATTTGAGACACTTTTTCTTCTTTGTTAATATATACCTTTTATGTATAAGCTTTCCCCCTAAGTTCTGCTTAAGTGGCATCCCACAAATTATATGTTGTTTTTTTCATTTTCATCTACTTCAGAATACTTTGTAATTTCCCTTTTGATTTTTTTGACCCATGAATTATTTAGAAGTACATTATATAGTTTCCAAATATTTAGGGATTTTCCAGATATTGTGGTTACTGATTTCCAACTTAATTCCATCGTGGCCAAAAATCATATCTTGGATGAGTTGAATCCTTTTAAATTTATTGAGGTTTGTTTTATGGCTTTGAATATGGTCAGTCTTGGTAAATGATCTGTGTGCCCTTAAAAATAATGTAATATCTTCTTTGGAGAAATGTCTATTTAGCCCTTTGCCCATTTGTTAATTGGGCTGTTTGTCTTTTTGTTGTTGAATTGTGAGAATTCTTCGTATATTCTGGCTGTTAGACCTATACCACATATATGATTTGTAAATATTCTCTCCCATCTGTAGGTTATCATTTCACTTTCTTGATAGTGTTCTTTGATACACAAGAGTTTTTAATTTTGATGAAGTCCAATTTATCTACCTTTTCTTCTGTTGCTTGTGTTTTCACTGTCATAGCGGAGAAACCATTGCCTATATAAGGCCATGCAGATGTACAGCTATGTTTCCATCTAAGAGTTTTGTCCTTTTAGCTCTCACATTTAGGTCTTTGATGTATTTTGAGTTAATTTTTGTACACAGTGTAACGTAGGGGTCCAAATTCACTCTTTTGCATATAGATATGCAGTTGTCTCAGCAGCATTTGTTGACAATAGTATTTTTCCCCATTGAATGTTCTTAACAGCCTAGTCAAAAATTGATTAACTATAGATGTGTGGGTTTATTTTTGGACTCCCATTTCCTTTTTTGTTTGTTTGTTTTTTGTTTTGGGGGACTCTCATTTCTATTTCATTGATCAATGTATCTGTCTTTATGCCAATATCACATTGTCTTAATTTCCACAGCTTTGTAGTAAGCTCTAAAATCTGGAAATGTGAATCCTCCAAAAATCTGGAAGTGTGAATCCTCCAAATCTGTTCTTCTTTTTCAAGATTGTTTTAGGTATTTGGGGTCTGTTGCATTTTCATATAAATTTTAAGATCAGCTTGTTTGTTTCTGCGAAGTTGGCAGTTAGAATTTTCATAGGGATTGCACTGAATAGGTAGATCAATTTGAGGAGTGTTTCTGTCTTAACAATAGTAAGTCTTAGAGTCTATGATGTCTTTGCATTTATTTAGATCTTCTTTAATTTAACAGTGTATTATAGTTTTCAGGGTACAAGTTTTGCACTTCTTTGGTTAAAGTATTCCTGAGTATTTTATTTATTTTTCAATGTTATTGTAAATGGAACTTTTTTCTCAATTTCATTTTCAGATTGTTCATTGCTAAAGTATGAAATACATTCGATTTTTGTATGTTGATCTTGTATCCTTCAGCTTTGCAGAAGTCATTTACTAACTCTAGTAGGTTTTTTGTCAATTTTTAAGTGTTTTCTCTATGTGACATCAAGTCATCTGCGAATAACGGTAGTTTTACTTCTTCC